AAAAAATATTTTATTAATAGTTTATCGTCTATCAATATATATTTAAATATATAGGTGACCATAATTTTTGAAGTACTTATTATGAAGTCTGCAAATTGCCGATAAAATCAGTTGCCCCGGCTTTAACAAGATTTGAATTAAATTATTATAAAAAATTAAAATCTCTATAATGTAGGTAACCACACTATTATATTGTATTTCTCTCAATAAAATAATATTATTAAATTTGTATTTTATATAATGTTTAAGTATAAAGTACGTGTTTAAACAATACAGTGGGAGTAGTTACTACATACCTAGTATTGTATACTAGTAGTACCTAGTATGTATATCCAACCATTGATTTTCTAGTAAGGCCAAAAAGGTAATAGTTAATAATGACTTGCTTATGTAACTTATTATGCGGGTAAAACTATACTTGTTTACACGACAAATGGGTACAAAACATTTATTTCAAGTATAATATTAGGTATCCTATTGACCTACTTCATTATACCATGTTGTTTAATTAGTTTTAATTTTTCACTCCAAATTTAGTTAGTACTATAGCTCGATTACGTCATTGTATACTTATCTTTTTGTTTACTTTTGAGATAAAAAGCGGTCAGTTCTGCAGTTTTGGTTAAACTACTTTTTAATAATAATAAGATCACAGTTACTAATACAATTTTAAAAAAGTAGTGAAATTATAGTTTTGTTACTGATAACCTAATATCAAATAACTTTGATTTTTAAGCTAAATAATTATTTTGCGCTGTAATAAAAATGTATGAAATTGTTAAGACATGGTGATAACCGGGGAGGGGGTAATACCCTCCAAAAAAAAAAAAATGTTTACCACCAGGAAAAGTTTATTTATTTTTATGACATACTGCATACCTCACTCTCTACCGAAAATTGTCGATTACCCCCTCCCCTCCGGGATAAAAGGTTTGAAATAAACACTGACTCCGATCGTCAAGATTATGGTAGATTTTATATCGGAAATGGTACTTTGAAACAGTGGCGGATTAACCTTCTCGGTGCCCTGAGGCACAATGAGTGTTTACCGCCCCCTTTTTAAGTACTATCCAGAGATCGTAATTTGAATGAGCTAACATTGAAGAGTGATGGGTAATTGGGTATAGCCATCCTAGAAGTGAGAAATGATTCAAAGGTATTATGGTTGAATAATTATTAATCTACACTTTAATTCAAACATAGTATACATATAATCTTACATGTTACAATCAATAAATTACATAAAAGAGTGGGAATGATTTAAATCAATTCTTTTCGAGCTTTTAATTGGGAAAAATCATTTATCAAGTGGTCAAAATCTAATTCGTTTGTGATGCGGTTCTCAATACACAGTATGGACAAAGCGTTGAGTTTTTCTTCCTGTAAATTGGCTCGTAAATACATTTTTATTCTTTTTAGTGCGGAAAATGACCTTTCAGCGGTGCAGTTCGATACTGCCACGGAAAAAAGAATTCTAAGAGCTATAAAAACATTCGGAAATGTTTGCTCTAGTTTTTCATCAATAAACTATTCGAAGTTGAAAATTTCATACTCTTTGTAGTGCAGTACCTCAGTTGGAAAATTGTCATCCAAATCATTTTTATACAGCATCTGTAAATGTTCCGCTTTTTTCAAAATTATGTCCGCTTCAAAATTTTTCAAATGCAGTAAAAAATCGAATCTTTCCGCCACTTCAGTATAAGCCAGTTGCCTTTTATGCAGTTCAATGTGAATGCAATCGAGTATTGGGTAATATACATTTATACGTAAGTTATCTTTTCCGTTTTGCGGTTTCGTTTCATTCTTTCGTGTTTCACCCAGTAAAAGTGATTTAGTTTTGACCCGCTTCATATCAAATTTATATTCTTCCGTGATTGATTGTTTGGCTTTAATTATGAATTTTTCAAACATCACTTCATTTCGCAATTGTGTGACAAAATCTGTCAAGGATCTATAAAGGTGGACAACAGTATCTAAATTTCTTATGGTCGATTGTAACGACTTACTTGTCGCATTAAAACGTTCTAATAACGTGTTCCAAAAAATTATCATAAAAACAAATTCAAAATTGTTTATTTGGTCTATGTAACCTTTTGCTTCACTCCGAGTTGCAGCTTTCTCCATCATATCGTCTCGAATATTACTCAACGATTGTATAACTTCCGCCCAACATGTAGCTACACTTTTACAAGCGTCGTGTTTACAAGACCATCTAGTGCCATTTGCTCGTTTCAGCACTGTTTGGCCGTTTTTTAAATTACTTGTAAATATATCCCATCTGGAAAAATCAAAAACATTAAAGTTAAAATTCTATAAATTAAAGTTAAAATTCTATAAATTAAAGTTGAGGAATAAAAATACCTGTTAGTAGAAGCTGCAAAAAATGTGAATATGGTCTGAATGGTATTAAAAAATGCTGAAGCTTCAGGAACACACTCAGCAGCGCATGAACCAACCAAATTCAGAGAATGAGCAGAACATGGGACATATATGGCCAAAGAATTGTGTTTGACTATTCGCGCTTGCAATCCAGTATACGCGCCGGACATGTTACTGGCATTATCATATGACTGTCCTCTGCAGTTGTTTATGTCAATTCCAAGATTTTTCAAAAATGGGAGAACTGCGTCCTCCATTTTTTCAGATTTATGGCCTACTTTTGGTAAAAAACGCAAAAATCGTTCCACTGGAGTAGAGTCTTTCACATATCTCAAAACAAACGATAATTGATCTACGTGACAAATATCAGAAGTAGAATCAACGACGATAGAAAAGTACTTGCACTGTTTAATTTCATTTACAATTTTGTTCGTTACATGTTTGCCCATCAAATTGATAAATTCATTACAAATTGTTGACGATAAATATGACGTATTACCTTTACCAGGATTTCCGCGAATAGCAATATGATTTGCTAAAAATGGATCAAATTCTGCTAGTAATTCCAGACACATCATGTAGTTTCCGTTATGGAATGATCCAAATCGTTCATCATGTCCCCTGAAAGCAAGTCCTCGACTGCTGAGTTTTTTAATCACTGCCAGGACTCGTTTTAAAACGTTTTTCCAATGATGGATTTCAGCATCAATTTGCGAACAAAGCATATTATCTACCTTCTCATTAGCTCTGCTTCGATTTAACATGTTTTTTTGGCAAATGTGATGATCTTTGGAATTTTTATGTGAGCTCAGTATTCGATTAATATTTTTCCAATCGTTACATCCGTCTTCTTTCGCCAGTGAAGATTCGCCTCTAAATAATCGACATGGCATACAAAATAATGGCTTCTTACTGTGGGAGTATATTAAATACTTTCAATCGTATTCTTCTCCATTTTTCAATTTTCTTTTGAAACTATTTTTATTCAGATATCTAAATTTTCCAGGTTCATAAAATATTCTGGTTTCATTAAAATCGCAATTTAAATTTTGATTAACTTCTCTGGCCAGTAAAATTTCAATCGTTGTATCCTTAATTATCCACTCCGCTGGATCACTACTTACAAAACCAGAATGGGTAGCGCTTTGTTCTTCAGGTTCAGGTAGTTTAGATGTTTCAGCAATCAGCTTTTGTCGTATAGTGGAATCAGAAGAATTTTTTTCAAAATTAGTGGTTGATGTAGACGGACATGGAGATGGATTATTCACAGAATCATCATCTGTATTCATGGCAAAGTATGCATCTAAAATATAAAAAAATTATTGAAAAAAAAAAGTGTGAAAATTGAAAAATATGACCCTTTATTTTGAACTTTTAAGTTTCCAATTGCAGACATTTCGTTCACTAGTATATTGCCTGATTGCTTAATAATATATATAACTTAACTAAATAATTACTTATTCTCCTAGTTTTTTCAAAACTTCTTCTTCTTTCTCTTGCCTCTTCTTGGCTTCTTTTCGGTATTGGGAGCCACTTAATTTTTTTCGAGTATTAGGAGTATTATTCATTTTATAAAAGAAATCAGGCACGGATCCAGAACTAAAATTTGGGGGTGGTCATTTTTTCAAAAGAACAAAAAAATAATATAGGTACACAATAAAATACGAGATATATAAATTAAAAATAATAAAAAATTTAAAATTAAAACATTTGCTATGCATAAAGAATATTTAATATCTACATAAAAATAGATTTTATGTAAATAACAATGATCTATTTTTATAACTCTTTGGACAAAAAATTAATATTCTGTGATTTCATCATATTTGATGACTAGATTTTATTTACACGTCATGTGTTATTTTCGTTACGTGTATATTTTTAATTCTATTATTCTAATAATTTCAAAACTGGACAATATCTATCATAATATGTTACTTATTTATTGATGTATTAACGGGTGTACGCAGTGGTTGAATTGGAAAAAAAAATAAAGGTGGACTCTAAATGTAGCTGAACAATTAGCGTTCCAAAGCAAATTAATCTAAAAAAAACCCTGGGGGACTTTGTCCCCCCCACCACCTAAATGCATCTACAATATAAATAATTAAATATATCTAATGATTAACACAGATATCTATAACAAATAATAAACAATACTAATAGGTATTTATTTGTATTAATTCTATCAACACAGCAACACGTCTAGCAAGTTTAAAATCTAAATTGTAAATATATAGCCACATGATAAAATTAATTAATCAATTAACTTTAAATTTAAAATAATTCATGTATTTTACTGTTGCCTACAAAAAGTAAATATTAAATTTATAGATTATAAATGTTACTCTTTAATTAGTATATTAATTTTTTTTTGTCAATATTAATTTTAATATTTGAAGTTTAATATTAGTCAAATAATTTATTTCATCCCGTCACATTATTTTTAGGACTAAGATTTGCTGAGAGTTAAATAATAATTATTTTTATCATAGTTATGTATATGTATTGCTTTAAAATGTATGACCAAAAAAATTTAAGGAACTTTTAACTGTATTTATTAACTTTTTTTTTAGGTAGGTACTAGGTACTTAAGTAAAAAGGGCTAATAACTTTTTTTGGAAAATCAAGTTTTTTTTATAAATTTTATCAAATTACAAAAAAATAAAAATTGCCGGGACTGACGTTCATTGATAATCAGATTGTACATCAGTTTTTCTAATAAATTTTATTTCTACTTTTTTTTTTTTTTAAGGCGGGATTTATGAGGGTGGATTATCAAAAAAAAATAAAAGTACACCGGTAACAGGAATCTGCGCACGTCTATGATTTATTATTAAATTAAAGTGTTTTAATTACCTTGGTTATTGTTTTTTTTTTTTATTGAAAAAGTCCGATATGGACAATTTTTAACGTTTATTCATGTTTATTTGTTTATTGCTGACGTGACTTGTAGGACTGTAGGAGTGCGGTTGAGGTGTTTACTATTTTCAACAAAATTACAATTTATAAATTACATACGAGAGTACGCGACAAGCTAACATAATACTGATTACTCATTCGTGGCGCACCTCGTTTCCAAATAAAATATAAATAATATTTAATTTTCCTTGAAAACGATCACCATTTGTTAATCGTCGATAACTAAAACAACGGACGGATTCTCAAAATACGGAGTCAATATATTATTATTGTCAATGGTTTACTAAAGATCGTTATATCGGTACACCCAGGGAAGTTTTCGTAATAATTATATTTTTAGCAATTTAGCAGCTTATACCACGAATTAATACGCAGTGGAAACACTTGAAACGTGTTACATAAATTATATAACATTATTATTTATTTTATTATTGCGTTCCTAATATACATATGTGCTAATAATAATGAACAGATTACGAACTAATACCAAAAATTAAATAAAATATTAATCGTTTCCAATTTTTTTTTCATATTTATTTAATTTTTCTTAGAAACAAATTCATATTCATATAATTGTTGAAGGACGCTGCGTCCCCTGCGTTCCTTGATGAATTAAATTAAGGGGTACGCTATAATATGAAGAAAAATGAAGAGTAGCTCAGACCCTCTGCGTCCCCCCCCCCAATTCAACCACTGGGTGTACGTGTACCATCAATTGGGTGCGGTAATTTCAGCGTGTACTTTTTAGTGCGCGACAATTTAGCACAAAAAACATTAAATTTAAACTGAAAATACTGGTTTGTGATTTAAATTACTTATCGAATCGTACTGGAAAGTGATCGAAACGGCGAAAACACTAAACATGTTGAAATGTCGTAGAACTGTATTAATATATTTTAATGATTAATGACTAACTAGAACCACCTAAATTATTCTTAAATATTTGTGAAAAATCTTAACGAATAATGTAAATATTAGAAAAACAAAATATCCATATCTTCCATTTTCAAGAATAAAATACAAATGTGGAAAGTCTTCGGTAATTA